CCAATACCTCTTTTCTTCAGTCGGCACCTGCAAACTCATGTGCACACTGTGAGCTACCTCCACGCTCACTCATAGCATAACAACTCAGATGAGAAGCCACCAGGGTCTGTGATGTTTGAATTATGTATATTAAATTTTATACTCTAAAGCTTGAAAATAAACTACGTATGTACACAAAACAAGAACAAATCTTTTAGAAAACGTGGCTTCAACCAAGGACAAAAAGAAGTACCATTAACGCCCTCTCTTCCATGCCCCTTATTAAAGGTGTTCTTCAGAATCACAGAATCTGGAGAAGGTTGAATATTGGGAAAACACTGTCAGCTTATTTCACACCAGAGAAGGCCATACTACTGACAGCCTTTTCTTAGCACTGGGCTTCTGAAGCTTTCCCTGGGACCTTACGAGTACTCCAAGTTCTCACAGAAAAGTTCCTTTCCTAATTAGTCTTAATTGTTACATTGGATATGCTCATGTAATTTGGACATGTTTTTGTTGACTATCAACTGAAGAAAAGTTGTTGAAAAGTTTTCTGAATCCCTTATGTAGATGATGTTATAGATGCAGAGTTGAAGTAAGTGACACTCGTGTGATAGAAAAGGAGACCAGGGAATGATAATCCTATAAATCAGGGCCCAAGTTCTGCCCAAAACTTGACAGACTCTGCCTTTCAGTCTAACACCCACTACTGTGGCATCACAGAACATACAGGTAAGAATATTCTTTTTTTTTTTTTTTAACACCAAGACATCGATAATTAGAAGCTTGAAACCTAGATGGGTAGGTTGAAGGACATGTTCTACAATAATGAGTGAAGTGCTCTTACTCCTATACTATGGACAATGCTACTTGCTTCTACAAGATACAAGGGTGAATTGGGTTCCTGTTTCCAACATCATTTCTTACATTTCTTGTCAGATTTCTTCATGTTTGACATTCTTACTTTACATTTTCCTGAAGACGAAGAATGTTGAACACTTTTTTCTCTTTTTGGAGATAAGGTTTCACTGTGTATGCATGACTGGTCTAGAGATTACTTTGTAGGGCAGTCTTGCCTTAAATTCATCGAGATACACCTCACTCAGGCTCCTAAGTTTGGGGATCAAAGATTTGTGCCACCATACCTGACTAAAATGTTCAGCCCAGGCTGGCCTCAAGCTAATGATCCTCCTGACTCTGCACTGCAGCATACCCTAACATCATGAGCAACCAAAAGTAGCAGGGCACTTGAAAAAATAATTCCTGGTTATTTGTGTTTCTTCTTTTGAAAAATGCTTCTTTGTTTCATTACTCCATTGGTTGGTTGGCAGATTTCTTTCTTCATGTTTAATTTTTATAGTAATTTGTGAATTCTGGATATTGGGCCCATATCTGCGGTGTTGCTGATAAAGGTTTTCTCCTATTCTGTGGGCTCTTTGTATGCTCTGTTGATAATTACTTGTTCTGTGCAGAAACCTTTTAACTTCATGTAGTTCCATCTGATGATACTTGAGATAATTTCTGTGCTATTGAAGTATTGTTTAGAAAAATCTTGCTTACCCAATGTCTTGGAGAATGTTCTCTATACTTTCACCCTGTGGTTTCAGTTTTTCAGATTTTAAATTAAGATCTTTGATCCATTTCAAACTGATTTGTGTACATGATGAAAATTATTAATTTAATTTCATTCATCTGTATATGAATAAGCAATATCACCAGAAAGATTTGTTGATTTATGTTCTTTTATTCATAACATGATTTTCTGATTTTTTAAAAAATATGTGACCATAGCTTTATGGGTTTTGTCCTGGGTTCTCTATCCTTTTCCATTTGTCTAACTGTTTTTATGCCAATATCAGTCATTACCTGGAAATTCTATCATGAAGACCATACATCCAAAAGGAAAGTGTGTGTGTGTGTGTGTGTGTGTGTGTGTGTGCGCACACACACGCGCGAGCGCGTGCGCGAGCTTGTGCATCAGAACCCATTTACAAGAAGGTTCAGACCAGCTTCTTCATAAAAGTTGAAAAGAAAGCTAAGAACACCCCGTGTTCATATAAAGTGCTATTTGTTTTACTTAATCAATATGTGAATTATTTTAGATTGAAATTGTTATCACAAGTTAAACATTTTAGCACATTTGTGATAGACAAGCTTGATTTCCTCATCCTTTTTAAATTAATTAATTTTTTACAATTTATTTACTTTATATTCCCATTGTAGTCCCTCCCCTTCCTCATCTCCTCACAGTCTCATCCTCCTTCCCTTTTTCCCCTCCCCTAGTCTACTGAAAGGGGAAGTCCTATTCCCCTACCATCTGACCATAGCCTATCAAGTCTCATCAGGACTGCTTGGGTCCTCTTTCTCTGTGGCCTGGCAAAGCCATCCTCCTAGGGGGGAAGTGATCAAAGAACAGGCAAGCGAGTTCATGTCAGAGACAACAGAGATGCCTATAGGCTACATTTGAGCTGGAGTTCTGGTTCTTCTCCATACATGGTCCTTGGTTGGTACATCACTCTGCAGCTCCACTTGGGTCTAGAGTTTTTGGCTTTGTTTGTCTCCTTGTGGAGCTCTTGTCCCCTCTGGGTCCCTATCCTCACCCTCTTCTTCCATAGGATTCCCAGCACTCTGTCCAAAGTTTGGCTATGGGTCTCTGCATCTGCTTTGATCCCCTGCTGGGTAGAGTCTTTCAGAGGACATCTATGAAAGGCTCCCATCCTGTTTCCTCTCTTCCACTGCTTCCACTGTTTATACTGTTTGCCCTTCTGATTGAGAATTAAGCATCCTCCCTAGAGTCCTCCTTGTGAGATTCTTTAGGTCTGTGGATAATATGGTTATCCTAAGTGAGTATATTCCATGAATGTCTTTCTGCTTCAGAGTTACCTCAAATAGGGTGAGCTTTTCTAGTTCCATCTATTTGCCTGCAAATTTCATGATTTCCTTCTTTTTAACAGCTGAGTAGTATTCCATTGTGTAAATGTACCACAATTTCTGTATCCATTCTTTGGTTGAGAGACATCTAGGTTGTTTCCAGATTCTGATTTCCTCACCCTTCTAACATGAACTTACAACACACGAAATTATGAGTTTTAAAATCTTATGTTATACTAATATCTATTAATACAATGATAATAGATTTCTTATTTTATACACACATATGTAAGTATGTATGTATCTTGGTCATAGTTGCCCCTATTACTCTCTCTTTCTTCCCTTGTCTTTTCCTACTGCTGCTCATGTCTGCCCTCTTGCTCAAATTAAGTTTCTCATCAGGATTGCTTACAAGGTGCATGGATGAGGGATTATTGTAGAAATATGCAACATATTAGTGGGTATGTCACTAAAGAAAGAGTCTGTTTTGTCCAAGCAACCATCACTAGCTATGGGTTCTGAGAGGATGTGCCTTCTTGAACTCCTTGAAACCTGAGCAATAGATAATATGGGAACTGTGGGCATCATGAGCCACTCCCTTCTACATGATAAAATGCTGATGAGCTCAATCTATGTATATCATGTGCAGGTAATTAGAGGGTTTTTTTTTGTGTTACTGCTTGCAGAGACCATGTTATACCTGGAAGACAGAGTTCCGTAACACTCCATTCCTTTTTTGTTCTTATATTCTCTTTGGTTCCACCTTTTCTGTGATGTCCCTGAAGCCCTAGTTAGTTGGTGGTACAGGGATGAATATTCAATAGTCTCCTCAGCATCTTTAGTCCCAGCAGTAACTTCCACTCACATCATCTAAAGGTGACAACAGTAATAACCTATGGCTACAGAAATAAATATTGAAAAGGTTACTTTGAGAGGCACAAAAACTCTATTTGTCAAGATAACCAGAAGAACTTCTCTACTAGGATCTGTGTTCCTTTTGTCACAGGCTTTCACCTAGGTTTACACTGACAGTCTGAGGTGTAGCCCTAAAATCTAAGCAGAAAGGGGCTCATTATTCCCATAACAGCCACTATCACAGCAGTGAGCTCATTTTGTCTGGCAGGCAGAGAGTGTTGCATGTAGTGTCCAAAGCTGACCAAGATTGTTGGTGGCATCTTTTCTGCCCCAGTATCCATGCGTAGCACCTTCTGGCAATGTGGAAGGAAGGCAAGCTCAATTTCAGCTTGATTTCTGTGTTGTGCAAACAAGATTTGTAGTGTTTTCTTGCAACACACAAATTGTTTCATATGCATAAAATGGAATTCTGTAGAATATAAAAAGGAATAAATGTTAACTCCCCATGAATCTTTTAAAACATGTTGTTGAAAAGAATGGAAACAAGATCTACACATCTCTCTGTTTCTCAATGCAGGTATGCTTTAAAAAATAAGTGTACAGATTTTAGTAGGTTTGTCCTATAGTATATGTTTATATGAGTGAGTATATACCGTGTGTGTCTTTCTGCTACTGGGATAGCTCACTCAGGATGATCTTTTCCAGTTCCCACCATTTGCCTGAAAATTTCATGATTTCTTTGTTTTTTATTGCTGAGTAGTATTCCATTGTGAGGATGTACCATACTTTCTGTATCCATTCCTCAGTTGAGGGTCATTTGGGTTGTTTCCAGCTTCTGGCTATTACAAGTAAAGCTGCTACAAACATGCTTGAGCAAATATCTTATTGTGTACTTGAGCATCTTTTGGATATATGCCTAGGAGTGGTATAGCTGGATCTTGAAGAAGTGCTATTCCTAATTGTCTGAGAAAGCACCAGATTGATTTCCAGAGTGGTTGTACAAGTTTACATTCCCACCAGCAGTGGAGGAGGATTCCCCTTTCTCTACAATCTCTCCAGCATGCGCTGTCACTTGAGTTTTTTATTTTAGCCATAGGATAAGCCTACTAAACTCTGTATACCTAAAGAAAATAATCAAGAGGGAGGACTCTGGCTAAAATGCTCAATCCCCATCCAGAAAGGTAAAGAGGATGGACACCAGAAGAAGGAGAAAATAGGAAACAAGTTAGGAGCCTACCACAGAAGGCCTCTGAAGGGTTCTGCCCTGCAGACTATCAAAGCAGATTTTGAGACTTATGGCCAACGTTTGGGCAGATTGTGGAGAATCTTATGAAAGAAGTGGTAAATAGTAAGATCTGGAGAGGACAGCAGCCCCACAAGGAGAGTAACAGAACCGAAAAATCTGAGCACAGGGGTTCTAGGGTCTTCTCCACTTTTTCTTCTAACCAATTTAATGTGTCTGGTTTTATGTTGAGGTCTTTGATCCACTTGGACTTTAGTTTTGTGCAGGGTGATAAGTATGGATCTATTTGCATTTTTCTACATGTAGACATCCAGTTGAAGATGCTATCTTTTTTCCATTGTATGGTTTTGTCATCTTTGTCAAAGATCAGGTGTCCATAAGTGTGTGGGTTTATTTCCGGGTCGTCTAGAAGTTGGTTCCATTGATCCACCATTCTGTTTCTATGCCAGTACCATGCAGTTTTTATTACTGTTGCTCTATAGTACAGCTTAAGATCAGGGATGGAGATACCTCCAGAAGATCTTTTTTTTTCTTTTTCTTTTTATTAATTACACTTTATTCACTTTGTATTTTATTGTAGAGGATTGTTTTAGCAATTCTGGGTTTCTTATTATTCCATATGAAGTTGAGAATTTTTCTTTCCAGGTCTGTAAAGAATTGTGTTGGTAATTTGATGGGAATTGCATTGCATCTGTAGATTGCTTTTGGTAAGATGGTCATTTTTACTATGTTAATCCTGCCAAGCCATGAGCATGGAAGATCTTTCCATCTTCTCATATCTTCTTCTAATTCTTTCTTCAGAGACTTGAAATTTTTTTCATACAAGTCTTTGACTTGCTTGGTTAGGGTCACACCAAGATACATTATGTCTTTGTGGCTATTGTGAAAGGTATTGTTTCCCTAATTTCTTTCTCAGCCCTATTGTCTTTTGTATACAGGAGGGCTACTGATTTTTTTGAATTAATTTTGTATCCAGCCACTTTGCTGAAGGTGTTTATCAGCTGTAGGAGTTCCCTGGTAGAATTTTTGGGGTCACTCAAGTATACTATCATATCATCTGCAAATAGTGATAATTTGACTTCTTCCTTTCCCATCTGTATCCCCTTGATCTCCTTTACTTGTCTTAGTGATCTAGCAAGGACTTCCAGCACTATGTTGAAGAGATATGAAGAGAGTCGGCAGCCTTGTCTTGTCCCTGATTTCAGTGGGATTGCTTTAAGTTTCTCTCCGTTTAGCTTGATGTTGGCTATAGGCTTGCTGTATATTGCCTTTACTATGTTTAGATATGTGCCTTGTATCCCCGATCTCTCCAATACTTTAAACATGAATGGATGTTGGATTTTGTCAAATGCTTTTTCAGCATCTAAGGAGATGATCAGTTTGTTTATATGGTGGATCACATTGATGGATTTATGTATATTGAACCACCCCTGCATACCTGGGATGAAGCGTACTTGGTCATAGTGGATGATATCTTTGATGTGTTCTTGTATTCAGTTTGCAAGTATTTTGTTGAGTATTTTTGCATCAATGTTAATGAGGGAGATTGGCCTGAAATTCTCTTTCTTTGTTGGGTCTTTGGGAGGTTTATGTACCAAGGTGACTGTGACTTCATAGAATGAGTTTGATAATGTTCCTTCGGTTTCCATTTTGTGGAACTAAAGAGAACTAAAGTTATCTCTTCTTTGAAGGTCTGGTAGAATTCTGCACTGAAACCATCTGGTCCTGGGCTTTTTTTTGGATGGGAGACTTTCGATGACTGCTTCTATTTTCTTAGGGGATATAGGACTATTTAATTGATTTACCTGGTCTTGATTCAGCTTTGATAAGTGGAATCGATCCAGAAAATTGTCCATTTCCTTTAGATTTTCAAATTTTGTGGTGTGTAGACTTTTGAAGTAAGACCTAATGATTGTTTGGATTTCCTCAGTGTCTATAGTTATGTTCCCCTTTTCATTTCTGATTTTGTTGATTTGTATGGTGTCTCTCACCCTTTTAGTTAGCTTGGCTAAGGGTTTGTCTATCTTGTTGATTTTCTCAAAGAACCATCTCTTGGTTTCATTGATTCTTTGAATTGTTTTATTTGTTTCTAATTTATTGATTTCAGCCTTGAGTTTGATTATTTCCAGCCATCTACTTCTTTTTGGTGTGCCTGCTTCTTTTTTTTCTTGGGTTTTTAGGTGAGCCATTAAGTTGCTTGAATGAGCTGTCTCGAATTTCTTCTTGAAGGCACTTAGTGCTGTGAACTTTCCTCTTAGCACTGCTTTCATTGTGTCCCACAGGTTTTGGTATGTTGTGCCTTCATTTTTATTGAATTCTAGGAAGACTTTAATTTCTTTCTTTATTCCTTCCCTGACCCAGCTGTCATTGAGTAGCAAGTTGTTCACTTTTCATGTGTGTGTAGGCTTTTTGCTATTTCTGTTTTTGTTGAGGTCCAGCTTTATTCCATGGTGATCAGATAGGATACAAGGGATTATTTCAATCTTCTTGAATCTGTTGAGGCTCGCTTTGTGACCAACCATATGGTCTATTTTGGAGAAGGTTCCATGAGGTGCTGAGAAGAAGGTAAATTCTTTTGTGTTTGGGTGTAAGATTCTGTAAATGTCTGTTAGGTCCATTTGATTCATGACCTCTGTTAGGGACATTGTTTCTTTGTTTAATTTATGTTTTGTTGACATGTCCTTTGTTGATAGTGGGGTGTTGAAGTCTCCCACTATTAATGTGTGGGGATCTATATGTGGTTTAAATTTTATCAATGTTTCTTTTACAAATGTGGGTGCTCTTGTATTTGGGGCATAGATGTTCAGGATTGTGATGTCTTCCTGGTGGAATTTTCCCTTGATGAGTATGAAGTGTCTTTCCCCATCTCTTTTGATTAATTTTGGTTGAAAGTCTATTTTATCAGATATTAGAATGGCTACTCCTGCTTGTTTCTTGGGTCCATTTGCTTGGAAAGTCGTCTTCCAACCTTTTACCCTCAGGTAATGTCTATCTTTGTGCCTTAGGTGTGTTTCTTGTATGCAACAGATTGCTGGGTTTTGTTTACATATCCATTCTGTTAATCTGTGTCTTTTACTGGAGAGTTGAGTCCATTGATGTTGAGAGAGATTAATGACCAGTGACTGTTAGATCCTTTCATTTTGACTTTGGCTGTGGTAGTAAGTTTGTGTGCTTGGTTGCTTTTTGTTTTACTGTAGTGAGGTTAATTATTTCCTGTGTTTTCTTGAAAGTAGCTAGTTTTCTTGGGTTGTATTTTTCCTTCTAGTGTCTTCTGTAAAGCTGGATTTGTGTGTAGGTATTGTTGAAATTTGTTTTTGTCATTGAATATCTTGTTTTCTCCATATATGAGAACTAAGAGTTTTTCTGGCTATAGTAGCCTGGGATGACATCTGTGTTCTCTTAGGGCCTGCATGATATCTGTCCAGGCTCTTCTGGCTTTCATAGTCTCTGTTGAGAAGTGAGGTGTGATTCTTATGGCAGATAATACAATTTTATACATAAATGACACAGTAGACTTCTCTAGGTAACTGCTAGTGCTGGTAAATACTTTATGCAATGTAGCAGGGTACAAAATAACACAGAAAATTCCAAACCCTTCCTAAATCCAACTGACAGACTGAGAAAGAAAGGAGGAAAATAGTATTTTCAAAGTAGCTTTAAAAATAAAATATGTTAGAATAACTTACCAAGTAAGCCAAAGATTTGTATAATAAAGACTCTAAGGCATCCAAGAAAGAACTTGGAGAAGGCAACAGAAGACAAAGCTCTGCCATATTCATGGATCAAGCAAGTTAACATCATAAACTAGTATTTGAAAAAAGTGTTAATCTTACCAAAAGCAATCTATATAGTCAATGCAATCCTTATCAAAATCAACACAATTATTGATAGAAACTGAAGGAAAAAAAAGAATTCTAAGCTTCCCATGGAAACATGAAGGATAGCTGAAACAATACTGAAAATAAAACACATATTGCAGGTACCACAATACCAAATCTCAAATTGTGCTACAGAACTATACTACTAAAAATAGCATGTCATTGGTATAGAAACAGGCACATTGATCAAATGAATATAGTTGAAGTCCAAGAAATAACTCCATACATTAAAGGACATCTGACTTGTCACAAAGAAGGGAAAAATACATACTAGAAAAAAAAAAAACTTCAACAAAGTGTTCTGGTTAAACTAGACGGCTGAATGAAGAAAATGCAAATTGATCTATGTCTATCACCCTGCATAAAGCTCAACTCCAAGTGGATCAGTGATTTCACCATAAAACGTGATGCCTTGAACATAATCGTTGCTAATAAATATGCTTGAACTCATTGGCATAAGGAAGATCTTTCAGAGACTCATGACCAAACATTTGGCAGAGTACAGGGAATCATAAGAAAGAAGGGGAGTTAGTCTGATGAGGAAAGGATAGGAGCTCCACAAGGACCAAATATATCTGGGCACAGGGTCTTTTCTGAGACTGACATGCAACCAAGGACCATGTATGAATGTAACCTAGAACCTCTGCTCAGATGTAGCCTGTGGTAGCTCAGTAACCAATTGGTTTCCCATAGTGAGGGGAGCAAGGACTGTTTCTAACAGGAACTCAATGACTGGCTCTTTGGCCTCCCCACCCCCCCAAGGGAGGAGCAGTCCTGTTAGGCCACAGAGGAGGGCTTTGCAGCCAGTCCTGAAGATACCTGATAAAACAGGATCAGATGAATGGGGAGGAGGTCCCCCCTATTAGTGGACTTGGCAAGGGGCACAGTGGAGATGAAGGAGGGAGGGACTGGGAGGGAATGAGGGATCGGGACATGGCTGGGATACAGAGTTAATAAAATGTAACTGATAAGAAAAAAATAAAATTCAAAAAAAAAAAAAAAGAAAGATCTTTCAGAGCAGGTACTAAGATCAACAATTAATAAATAGTTCCTCATGAAGCTAAAATATTTTTGACAAAACAGACACCATCATTTGATCAAAGAGAGAATTCTTGTCTCTACCTTCTCTGCACTGGGATTACTAGTGAGTTCCATCATGTCCAGATAGCATGTGGATGCTGAGGATTTTATCTCATGTCCTCATGCTTGTGTCACAGATACTATATTGACTAATGTTTCTACTTTTTATAGAGAAACCATTAAGCAAATGTTCTGACTTGTCCATAAATTCATGAAAAATTTGTTTATTTTTTTAGAAAATTATCTTTTGTGATGATTTTGAAGAGGCTAAAATAATGATATTTTTCATATATCAGAGAAATATTTCATTAACAGGCAAACATGTACAAGGAAACTATCTTAGCACCTTGATTTTGAAAGTTCTCTAACTGATCACAGAAAATGCTACTGAAGTCACCACAAAATTCACTGTAACAATATTTTAGAAATATTTATCAGTGGGAAAGGTTAATGAAGAAAACAATGAGATGTTGATTTAATTTATGGTACTAAGAAATTAATACTAATATTTATTTTTCTCCCTGTGTCTGATGATATGAATAAATTTGTCATTTTTAGATGACAAGAAGATGGTTCCTGAGAACTTTTCAGTGGGGATGTTTTTCTTGTCCCAGACGGTTGTGGGAATCCTGGGTAATTGGTTACTTTTATTTTATTATTTCATGTCTTTTTTCACTGGAAAGAATCTAATGCCCAAAGATGCGATTTTAAAACATGTGACTCTTGCCAACTCATTGTCTATTATCTCAAGAGGAATTCCTCAATCAATGGCCGGGCTTGGGTTGAAAGATTTCCTGGATGATAATGGATGTAAATTTGTTATGTGCCTGTTTCGTATAGCCCGAGGAGCTACCCTTCATTCCTCCAGTCTCCTGAGTTGCTTTCAGGCAATCACAGTCAGCCAAAGCAACTCCAGGTTTATGAAGATTAAACAGAGAGTCATGAAGTACATTGTCCCCTCCTGTTCTTTTAGCTGGCTGGCACATCTATTTCTAAACATCAGAATTGCTATGACAGTGACTGCCCTTGATACCAACAGAAATTTCACTAAGAAATTATATGTGGGCTACTACTGCTCACCAATTGGTTCTGATGGCCCTGTATCTCTTCTGTATTTCTTCTTTATTGGTTTCATTGATATTCTCTATCTATGTATCATGGCCTGGACCAGTATTTCCATGGTGAGCTTCCTATACAGGCATAAGAAACATGTACGGAACATCCACAGTTCCCAGCATGCCCTCAGAGCATCTCCTGTAGCCAGAGCCACCCAAGTCATCCTGATCCTGGTGTGTACTTACATCACTTCCTATGCAATGTCCTTCATCTTCATATTATACATAATACTCTGTAACAATCAAAAGCTGTGGTTGATGAACACACTTGCACTTTTAGAGAACTGTTTCCCTACTCTTTTCCCCTTCATAGTAATGAAGAACAACAATAACAAGAACAACAACTCTACTTTCAGTATCCATTTTTCCTGCCACAGGAACAAATAATTTTCTGAATTTATTACTTGTTCTGGTAGATTATGTGTTCTAATATATTCATATGTTCTTTTATCTACTATGGATGGTTGCCTTCAGTAATGATCAGACAGTACTAGGTAAATTTGTGGCATTGTAAATTAGGTGTGAACAGTTGTCCAAACTGTAATATAGCCTGGCTGAATATTTTTATGATTTATCATTGTTTTCATCCTCAAAATTCTGAAACATGGAGTCATGATTTAATAAAGTATCTTATGGTTTGGTTTGTTTTTTTTCCCTTCTGGGATGTAATCTGAGTAGGAAAGAGCGAGCACTCCAGCTGTAGAGAAGCCATCAGATTTGGTAAGTCATCTGGAAAGTCCTCAAGGAGAGAGTTAAGGATGAGAAGTACCATAATAGAAGGCTTTAGGACCCTCAATTGTTCTACTCTAGATGACTTGAAAATAGAAACAGAAAATTAAAAGCTAAATGGCTTAAGTAAAATTGTCTCAATACTTATAATTATAATTATTATCTCAATACTTATAATTATAATTATTATCATTTTGGCATATTATATTTTATCCTTAATAGGAATAGAGGATTTCTGTACACAGCCAAAAAATGTTTAGAGATAGAGGGAAAAGAAAGGTATACAGAGTGTATTGATAAGGCACAAACCTTAGAAGAAAAATTAGAGAGATTTATAAACAAAAAAATTAGAAAAAAATACAAATACAGGAAGAGGAATTTAGACAAGTCTTAGAAAGACCTAGGAAAGATAGTCAGACCCAAACAGAGGAATTTAGACAAGACTTATAAATGAGACTAAGGAACAATCTCGGACACACAGAAGAATGTAGACAAGAGCCTACAATGCCACCATATAAAGAAAATGAAAGAAAAGCTGGCTAAAGTTCTTTGAAAACCAACCTCAGTTTTTCCAGTTACTATACAACACATACCAGGAGATAATAAGTAACCCCAAGGTTATGCAAAAGTTAAATGAACTCTTATAGACATAGTAGATTTGAGAAGATTTAAGGAATCAAGTTATTTCCTATGGTATTTATTCATCCTCTGTAAAGGAGATACTAAATTCATGGGCAACTCAGAACAGAATTGTCCTCCAAGTCCGGAAAGATTTGGCAACAGTAATATTGGAAGCTTGTCCTCAGTTACAAAGGTGAACATAGTGGAAAGAGGAAGCTAGTGCTATAGAATAAAGAAGTCTGTCCAGAGGTCTTGATGTTTTTCAGGATCAGTTGCTAGGTGAAGGTCAATATGTTGTTTTACAAAGGCAGCATGCATTTCATGATCATATCTTGATGCTATGTCATTTAGCAGCTTAAAATGCTTGTGATAAATTTGAACAATCAGAAAAAAAATCTGTGTATTACTATAGAAGGATCAAAAGCAGACTTCTCGGCTTTTTTTTTTTTTTTGCAATGATTGACTTCATTGAAAATAGAATAATATCAGATTCAGACACCAGAAAAATACTTATTAAATCTTTGGCTATTAAAAATGTTGTCTGAATGTAAAAGGGTGATTAGACATTTAAAGGCAAGATCAGCAACAGTAGAGGAATTGATCAGAGATACAGCTGATATTTGGATCTCATGTTTTTGATAATCTGAGAGGAGAAATAATTTCTAAAAGTCTTTAAAATTAAAATCGGTAGGTGTTTTAATTGTGGTAAACAAGGTCATTTGAAAAGGAATTGTAAGCAAGGCTTTCCTAGAAACAATGATTTTTTCTAGAAATAATAATAATAAAAGGCCCCAGCTTTTTTGAGTATGCAGAAGGTGAGGCAAAGGCTGACATTGGACTAATGAATGCAAGTCCAATAGGTATATCCAAGGCAACTTCTTGCCAAAGGGAAACAAAGTGGGGTGGCTGGTAGATCAAGGGCCCACAGTGGGGGTAAAGCCCACAAGCCATTTCAGACAAGAATAGTTGAGAGTCATGAGGTTATAGAAAAAAATCTTGGTGACTGACCTGAAGAAGTGTTTACTTCATTGACAGTGTCTTTGTTTATAATTTTCTCACTAAATACAGTAGCTTAAAACAGAAAGGGGGAAATGAACTGAGAATTTTGTAGGGTTTGACTTGTAGTCAGATTTTGGCTACTTCATTGGGGTTTTTTCCTACCTCCCTCCACCACACCTAACCCTTCCAACCCAAGACACAAGGTAGAAGAAAAAGAAAGTTAGAATGGAAAGGGGGGATCTATATAGTTAGACCACTTTCTGCAGATTAGGGATGTTTAGTTCCTTGGGGCAAGTTTGATCTCCAACCAGCAACCAGCAGCCAGCAGCCAGCAGCAGGATCAGTAGGGACAGGAGCAGCCATTGCCTCTCTTGGGGATGTAACATTTATATACACTCTGCAGAGTCCCCAGAATTTCAAACTTGAACTATCTTTAGCTGTCAAAATCACACCCCTGCTGAAGCACAATACAAATAATTTACTTAGTTGCTACAGACAATCTGAAGCAACTCCACATCCCAAACCTGGAATTAAACCAAAATCATTTTCACGTAACATTTATATTTAAAAAAAATTCTGAATATATTCCATCTTACACCAACCAGAATGGCTAAGGTCAAAAACTCAAGCAACAGCTCATGCTGACAAGGATGTGGATCAAGGGAAGCACTTTTTCATTGCTGGTAGATGTGCAATCTTGTACAGCCATTTTTAAATCAATTTCACAGTTTCTCAGAAAATTAAAAATATATCTACCCCAAGACTCAGCTATACTAGTTATGGACATACATACAAAGGAGGCTCCACCGTACCAGAAGGACACTTGTACAACTATGTATCATGGCTCTATACGTAATATCCAGAAACTGGAAACAACCTAGGTGTGCCTCATGTGAAGAATGGTTAAAGAAAATGTACCTTTACAAGCGGAGTATTACTCAGCTCTTAAACCCAATGACAGCATGAAATTTGCAAGATGATCCTAGAAAAAAGCATCCTAAGTGAGTTAACCCAGAAGGATAAACATAGTATATACTCACTTAAAGTAGATACTTGCTATAAAGTATATGATTACCATACTACTGTCCACAGACCCAAAGATGCTAAGTAACAAGGAGGCTCAAGGGAAAACATGGAAATCTCACCAAGAGGGGGAAATAGAATAGACACTGTGGGTGGACAGAGGGAGGAGCCTGGATAGGATTGCGTATGTGAATGGGAACAGGAGGGGATCAAGTGGGAAGAGATTGAAGGAATAGATAATTGGAATCCATTGAGGGGGGCATTTCTTGGAAGAGCTAGAAACTTAGATAATTGCATACTCTCAGAATATATGTGGGTGAAACTAGATAAGATTCCTAGCAATTGGGGATATGGAGCCTGAACTACTCATCTCCTGTAATCATACATGACTTCCAGCTGGGAGACTGAGACACCAACCCAGCTACAAAACCTTCCACCTACAATTTGTCTAGCCCATCAGATGTGTAGGAGTGAAGATGGGGCAGAAATTGATGAACTGGCCAGTAAATGACTTGTCCAGCTTGAGACCCGTGCCATGAGAGGGATCTCACCCAACACTATTGTCACCGACCTGCAGTGACAACTGAATACCATCTGAGTGAAGGCTGGGGGAAAGAGACAGGATGACACAAAGAAGGACACCAAGTCTCTGATCAAGGTGTCATTTACTGAATGTCAGGTTAACACTTAAACAGCAGGAAAGTACAAGCAGTTTCTCACGGAGGCAACTTTACTTGGCCAAAACATATGAGGGCTCATGCAAGGTTACACAGAACCTGCTATCTGGTTACCATGGTTACACGGAATTTATTATCTAGTTCTCAGGGTCAGAGCTCCCTGCTGTAGGACTGCCAGAGTCAGTCTCTGAGACACTGAGCTTTAGATTAGAGCCAGGGCTAGGAGGCAAAATTTCACTGCTCAGAAACAGCAAATACTCCAATTAGGCCATTAACTCCAAATATGCTGCCTCACACTATTAATTATTATATGCTATCTTTTCAGACAGGATAGCATACCGACTATCAGAAAAGCCTCACCTAGCAAATGATGGAAACAGATGCAAAAAACCATGGCTAGATATTACTTGGAGCTTGGGGAATTCTGCAGAAGGTCACGATGGGGTGGGAGGGGGTTAGAAGCCAGATCAGTCAAGGACACCAGAAGAAAACCTACAGAATCAATTAACCTAGCCTCATATGGGCCCCAGGAGTCTGAATGACCAGCAAGGGAGCATACATGGTATTGACCTAGGCCCTCTGCACATATGTAATAGTTGTGGGACTTGGTCTTCATGGGGAACTCCTAAAAAGGGAGAAGGGGCTCTCTGAATCTGCTGGCTGCCTTTGGGACCCTTTCCCCATATTGGGTTGACACACTAGCCTCAATAGGAGAAGATGAACCTAGTCTTACTTCAACTTGATATGCCAAAGCTTATTGATATCCATGGGAGACTGCCCCTTTTCTAAAGAGATAGGAAGGAGTGGAAGGGGTGAGGGGTGGTGGTGGGAAAAGAATGAAAGAAGAGGAGGGAGGGAAAACAGCAGTCAGGATGTAAAGTAAATAAACAAGTTAATTAATTTAAAAAGTGGGTTATGAAAGGGACCTGAATTCTCAGGAAGGAAATCCAAATGTCTGGCAAATACTTTTAAAAGTGTTCACCATTCTTAGACATCAGGAAAATGCATGTTAAACTACCTCCAGATTTCATCCTACCCCAAGTAGAATCGCCAATATTAAGAAAAAAAAAATGAATGTTCTCATTGAAACAAATTGACAAAGCATGAGTATTGCTTCTTGAAATCAAGGCAGATGCTGTTTTTGTTGCCTATCAATGTAGAGTGATGAACAGTTGAGGGGCACTTGAGAACTGGTGGCTCTCTAGGTGGAGGTATTTGTAGTTTATGGATACTTCAGAGGAGGAACTGCTTGACATCATTGATTGTGAGTTAGTTCATGTTCCAGTGCATAGCTTCATAGCCATGTTTATTTTATTATTGTGTACTAAAAGCAATCTA